CGGTGGTGGCGCACGCCTTTAATCCCAGCACTCGGGAGGCAGAGGCAGGTGGATCTCTGTGAGTTCGAGGCCAGCCTGGACTATCAAGTGAGTTCCAGGAAAGGCGCAAAGCTACACAGAGAAACCCTGTCTTGAAAAACCAAAAAAAAAAAAAAAAAAAAAAAAGTGCAACAGGAAAATCTGTATTTGCTAGCAGTACAAACTGGCATGACATCCTTGGTGCTACAGTAAAACAACACTCATCAAAATCCATAAAAACATGCATTAACATAAATATCCTTTAACATAATAGCTTATTCCAAAATTTATCCTAGAGATATAGTCAGAAGATATATGTGTGTATATACATACATACATACATACATACACACACATACACACACACACACACACACACACACACACACACACACACACACTCTTTCAGAGGTCCTGAGTTCAAATCCCAGCAACCACATGGTAGCTCACAATGATCTATAATGAGATCCAATGCCCTCTTCAGGCATGTAGGTATACATGCAGACAGAACACTCACATACATACATACATACACACACACACACACACACACATACATCTTTTTTAAAAATGGCTAACTGAAAACCAGTCAACATCACAAATAACTAATGCAAAAGACAGACCTAGATAACTTGGCAATGAAGTTCAGTTGTTAAGAGTGCTCGTCTATCATGCACAAAGCCCTGGGTTCAATTCCCACACCATATTAACTGGTGTATCTACACCTGTCATCAGGAGATGGAATCAGGAGAGAAAGTCAAGGTCATCCGAGGCTACACAGAGGATCTGAGGACAGTCTAAACTAGATGGGATTATTTTTGCAAGCTTTCCATGTATAAATTAAAATTGTGAAATTTCTCCCCCCATCCTTGGGTTTTGGGTTTTGTTTTTTTTCTGTCTAGCCCTGGAACTTGCTCTGTAGATAAGGCTGGCCTTGAACTCAGAGATCTGTTTTCCTTTGCCCCTAAGTGCTGGGATTAAAGGCGTGTGCCACCACCACCCAGCTTAAAATTATAGAATTCATAACATGAAATGTTCATCAACATCTAATACGGTTTTAAAGCATCAAATTGTTACATATCATAATTTAAAGTATGAGCATTTTGAAATGGAATGCCAAAAAGAAAATCAACTGTTTTGGGGTAATAAACTCAAACACTGAATAATTTTTTAAAAAGCCATCATCTGTAACCAGGCAAGGCTTCCAGTGGTGGGACTGGGACACTACTAACCCAGCTACAAAATCTTCGACTAACCAGTGGTGTTAGCGCACACCTTTAATCCCAGCACTCGGAGGCAGAGCCAGGCGGAACTCTGTGAGTTCAAGGCCAGCCTGGTCTACAGAGTGAGCTCCAGGACAGGCACCAAAACTATACAGAGAAACCCGGCCTTGGGGCGGGGGGGGGGGGGGGGGGGGGGGGGGGGGGGGGGGCTCACAACCTGTCCTGCCTGCAAGATGTGCTGGGGGAATGGTGGCTTAGAGCTTATGGGAGTAGCCAGCCAATGGCTGGTTTAACTTGAGGCCCATACCATAAAGCTGGATGACCCAGAGACATAGGATAAAACCAAACACTACTGGCCAAAAAAATAATTAAATCAATGAAATGATTCCTAGGGATGTTCTGCTTTACTCATATATCAGTGCCTAGCCCAATCATAAAAGAGGCTTTTTCTGGCAGCTGATGGGAACAGATGCAGAGACACACAGTCAAACATTAGGCAGAGCTTGGGGAACCCCTCGACAGAGGGGAAGGAAGGATTGTAGGAGTCAGAGGGGTGTAGGACACCAGGAGAACAAGGCCCACAGCATCAACTAAGCAGGGCTCCTAGGGGATCACAGAGACTGAAGTGGCAATCACAGAGCCTGCATGGGTCTGCACTAGGGCCTCCCCATGTATGCTGTTGTTAGCTTGGGGTTTCCTTAGGTAGTCCTTAGGTAGGACTCCTAACAGTGGGAATGGGGGTGTCTCTGACTCTTTGCCTGCTCTTGGGACCCCTTTTCCTCCTACTGGGTTGCCATGCCAGCCTTGATATGAGGGTTTGTGCCTACTCTTATTGCATGTTGTTACGCTGTGTTCAGTTGACAACCCCGGGAGGCCTGCTCTTCTCTGAAGGGAAACACAGAGTGGATCTGGGGAAGAGGGGGATGGGAGGGAGGCTGGGAGGAGTGAAGGTGAGGGAAGTTACAGTCAGGATATATTGTGTGATAGAAGAATAAATAAAACAAAATAAAAGTTCCAGGGGCTGGAAAGATGGTTCATCAGTTAAGAACATGCACTGCTCTTACAAAGGACCAGAGTTCTGGTCCTAGCATCAATGTTAGCTGGCACATAACTGCCTGTAACTCCAGCTGCAGGGGATCTGTCACTCTGGTTCTCTCTGGTCTCTGTGGGGACCCATACACACGCTCACATACACACACAAACACAAACATAATAAATAACAAGATAATAAATAAAAGAAAAAGAAGGCTCCAATACTCCCAGGTCCTCCAGAAGAGCAGTCAGTGTTCTTAACTGCTAAGCCATCTCTCCAGTCCCCTTTATTATATTTTTGAAATAGGGTCTCACTATATTTCAGGGTGGCTTGGGATTCAGTATACAGTCCAAGTGCCTTTAGCTAGTAATTCTCCAGTCTTCCCAAGTACTGAGATTACAAACATGACCCTCTTTGCCCATCTTCATTTTAGTTTTTCAAGGACCAAAAATTCACCTCAAATAGACTTCTAACCATCTCCACATACCTACAGGAGACAAATGATGAAAAATGGACACATATTTAAACTCAAGAGATGAACAATAATCACAAGTTAATGTAATGACTACGGAGCCATGTCCAGGTTACTGTAAACTTCAAAAGTACACAGGTTTGCTGTGTTCATGTCTCTAGGAGTCACAAGAACATTGTGCTGACTCAGCAGTGGGCTGTTGCAGTTAAAAGATAGACTCAAGGACATATCAAAGAACCAGGGGCCAGGAAATGTAACTACAGTTAAATCGGCAGAAAAGCCAGGTGGGGTAGCACACTCTGGTAATATTAATACTCAGGAGAGGCAGAGGCAAGAAGAGCCCAAGTTCAAAGCCAGCCTCATCTATATTGCAAGAGTATGTCTTAAAACAAAATCCAAAAACAGTTAAAAAGAAAAGAATGTTCATTTATACACAGTAAAAAAGACTAAAAACTCAAGTTTATACCAAATGATAAAAAGTAGCCAGCAAGTTTTTTTAAGTATTACCAGCCAGAATTCAAAAGGCTTTCTGGAGAGGAGGATGCCTAACAAAAGGCTAGTATTGAAAAGAAATGGAAAATAAGTTTAGAGCCAGTGACAGATCATGTATCACATGCTCACAGCCCCAGGACCCATCCCAGAGCCAAAATAAGAGATCTTGGTGCTAGTGACCCACAGAAGAACACTAAATGTCTTCCCAGAGCTCGGGATATAGTTAGAGTAGAGCCTTTGACCAGAATGCACAAGACTTGTTTCAATCCCTAGAATTGCAAAACAAACAACGGGAACAAAACAGGGGTCCAGGGACAGCAGGCTGGAGCCACCTGCCTCACCCCACCTCCCACCCCCAGTGCTGGGATTAAAGGCATGCATCACCATGCTCAGCTTAAAATAGTGAAATTTATAACATGATATAAGTTTTTAAAGCATCAGACTGTTATATATCATAATTTAAAGTATGAACATTTTGAAACGGAATGCTAAAAAGAAAATCAACTGTTTCTGGGTAACAAACCCAAACACTGAACAATTTTAACACTAAAAAAAAGTTTGTATTATTATTATTATTATATATATATATATATAAATTATATACATCTCCTTATCCTTTACTGGCCTAGAACTATTCAACTATGCAGTTGAATCTAGCCTTGAACTCTCCACCCTTCTGCCTCAACCTCCTGATTACTGAGATTAAGATAGATACCAAGCACACCTGGCTCTCTAGCCTTTCTATTTTAATATCAAAGACCAAGAGAATGGACCAAGAAGATTGGCTAACTCTCTTTAGTAGTAGGCATTTCAGCAAATGTAAATCATCTGAAAGGCTGACAGCATAAGTAAAGGCAGTATAACCTCTAGGAACAAAGTCCTACCCTTTGTTCCTACTGGAATATTCTCAGTATCTAAGTCCTCCAAACGGATCATGTACATAATAGACACTATGTATTTTATACAAGTAAGTGTGTGTGTGTGTGTGTGTGTGTGTGAGTGTGTGTGTGTGTGTGTATAGTCATGATGCAACATAAAGAGTAAATAGCAAGAAAGCAGCTCAGTGTTCAGTCTTCAGAACACAAGGAGATCAACACTTAATGCTGACATAGAAGCTGACGGACCTCTCCAGTTTCATTACAGGAGATAAACTGAGCCTCGGTGCCATTACTCACTCCGAACCAAAGTGCAAGAAGAACCTCCCCTCACACTGATTTCTCCGTCCAAGTCGGACAGAGCAGCAGGCAGTGCCATGAGCTGGCTTTGTCCAACCTGTGCTACAGCAGCCAACTCGGTTAGGTCCTACAGCCCCAGTTCACCTCGCTCTGCATCATTCTACCTTATCCCACAGCATCTCTTCCAGCCAGACATTCTTTCCAAGATAAAGTCTCCAAACACGACCAAGTACAATTAAACGTAAGTAGAAGCCAGGCGGCAGTGGCCACGCCTTTAAACCCAGCACTCGGGAGGCGGAGCCAGGCAGATCTCTGTGAGTTCAAGGCCAGCCTGGTCTACAGAGCGAGCTCCAGAACAGGCACCAAAACTACACAAAGAAACCCTGTCTCAAGAAATTAAAAAATAATTAAATAAATAAATAAATAAATAAATAAAAGTGTCACAATGAAGCTCATTACCTTGTATATTAAAAAATTAATAAAAGAAAAAGGATGAAGTCTCTATTGTCCCTTCTTCATGCATTGCTGAGTCTTTTGTTTGTTTGTTTTTCTCCTTCGTAATGCTCTCCTAAGCCATCTATACTCACCTGCAGTTCACTGCACTGGGTATCACCCAAATAGCCCATCAGCGCTCTTTATAATTTCTGAAAGAGAGAAAAAAGCCTTTAAATACCACAGATTGCCATATGTGGTGGCACTGACCTGTAATCCCAGTACTGGAAAGACTAAGGCAGAAGAATCTTGGATTTGAGGTTAGCCTGGGCCATACATCAAAACACTGTCTCCAAAAAATACACAACAAACAAAGACATGAAGAATGAACAATCAATGTATCTATCATTGCAGAAGTATCTGTATCCACTATGCACAGCATCTGGCCTTTCTGTCCACAGTAATGCAACCAGATATAGCAGAACTAGCCATGGACCAAATGCCCTGACACAGCCTCTAGACAGAAAAGCTTTTGCACTATTACTGAACTGTGCAACCTTGGGCAAGTCAGTTTCTCTAGGCCTACATTCCCTCATCTGGAAAATGAGAAAGTTAGGAGTAGAGGCTTGCCTAGCATTCATAAAGTCTTGAGTTCAATACTCAGAAGTGGCACAGTGACACATGTCTATAATCCCAATATCCAAGAAGTGGAGGCAGGAGGATCAAAAGTTCAAAGTTGGGGATGGAAAGATGGTTCAGCACTTCTTGATCTTTCAGAGGATCAGGATTCAATTCCCAGTACCTACATGGTAGCTCACATCATCTGTAACTCCAATTCCAGGGGATCCAGAGCCCTCTTCTGTATCCGAGAGTGCCAGACATGCATGTAGTACACATACATACAAACAAAAAACATTCATAAACATAAAACAAATCTAAAAATTTTTTATTTAAAAAAGTTTAAGGTTATCCTCAGCTACTTAGTTCAAAGACAGCCTAGGCCACAGGAAACTCATCTCAAAAATAAGGAAGGTAAGCGGTTGGATTCAGTCCTCAGCTCTGAAGAAAAAAAAAAAAAAAAAAGGAAGGTAAAAAACGAGAAAGTAAAGCTAACCAGAGATAAAAGCGCAAAGCTTTCCAGAAAGAACACCAGAACACCATTCAACTGTTCTGTTACTACGTTAGTTCACAGTCAAGCCAAAATTTCCTCCTTCCCAAGATGGAAATAACTGTCTTGTAAGATGCTAGAGAATTGGGGATGACAGGTTATAAAAAGTCCATAGTAAACAGATAGGGAAGCTTATCACAGAATCCAACAATAGAGGCTAGAGAGATGGCTCAGTAGTTAAGAGCACTGACTGTTCTTCCAGAGGACTCACGTTCAGTTCCCAGCACCCACATGGTAGATCACAGCTGTCTGTAACTCCAGTTCTAGGGGATCTGACACTCTCATACAGACCTACATGCAGGCAAAACGCCAATGCATGTGAAAAAATAAATAAATAGAAATAAAAAAAAAATCTAACAATGGTAGTAGGGCGTAGAGGCACATGCCTTTACTCCTAGCACTCAAGAGACCGAGGCAGGATTTCTGTGAAAGGCCACTCTGGTCTACAAAGTGAGTTATAGGACAGCCAGGGTGACATAGAGAGACCTTGTCTCAAAACACAATAAACGAACAAACATATAAATAAATAATGATCAGCAAAATCAAAACTTACCCAGCCTGACCTCAAGACTAACTGTCTACTTAACAGTTTGACAGTAAACTGTCACTAATGTTTAACGTCACAGTAGAGCAGACTAGATATTCAGTGTCTAGTTCAACAGCCATGCCTTCTGGATTTCTCTCTACCGCTGCCAATGCACTTTAGGATCAGAGCGGTCTTCCAAAACTTAAAATGACACCCAGCTATTTACCAAACCATGCAGAAGAAGAGGGAGACTAAGGGAGAACAGGGACTTGGAGGAGGTAGGTGTTTGTTTTTAACTTTTTAATATGGGGGCATAGTATGTGAATGTGTTTATGTGTATACAGATACATTTAAATATTTTTAAATTTATACGTCTGTAAATGCACACGTGTGCAAGTACCACAGAAGCCAGAAAACCTGAAGTTATGGGCAGTTGTGAGCCACCCAACGTGGGTGCTGGCTACTAAAATGTTCTTAACCACTGAGCGAGCTCTCCAGCCCCATTCTTTTTGACTTTGTATATACTCATGTTGCTCAATTTAACTTACCATATGCAGGCATGATTTTTGTGCAATTTTTCAAACTATATTATTTATAAATATACCTGGCAGGCTGTGTTTACAAGAATATTTCCACCATAAGGTACATTTCCACAAAGGAAAGTGAAAAAGCAAATTCAGATGTGATAAGAAAACTGAAAATATGGCACAGAAATCAAACTCACAATCATTCACACTTCAGAGTAAATCAGCCCAAAAATGTGAGGACAGGAGAGATGGCTCGGTGGGCAAAGTTACTCTCTGCACAAGCCTGACACCTGAGCTTAATCTACAGATCCACTGAAGGTGGAAGTTGAGAGCCAACTCCACAAAGTTGCCCTCTGACCTCTACACATGCATACACAAACACTAAAACTTTTAATTAAATATATGTGTGTATACATTCATATATATGCATATATATGGTAAACCAGGCTTTTTATTGAAAAGCTAGACAAATTTGTTTCACCAGACTCCGTTCTTAGAGAGCTGACCCAGAATGGTTATAAGCATACAAAATTGATAAGACTTTTGACTTAAATTGGAAACTTTCAATTTCTTTCAGATAACTGAAAGTGTAACAAATACATGACATGTATATACCACATAAGTACTTATAGGTATAACATATGCAAGTAGTCTTCATTCTACATCAGTGATAGTCTTAAAAAGAGGAATAATGACTATCAGACTCAGGATTTTCAAGTGTTATGTCAGCCACCCCTGGAGTAGCAAGAGAGTATTTTGTGCCGCTGCTAGCTCATGCCACAGAAGTAACCCTGACACACCAATGCCCTAAAGAGACGGGTGAGCTGATGTGGCACTCTCTCCATGTCACACTTTGCTTCTAGACAACATTTCAAAGTACTACTTAGCAATCCAATTACATTTGCAAGTATGTTTACCTAAGTCTGTAAAAATAAACAACCCGAAGAACCTTATTGCTTGCACTGGGCCTGCATTAGGATCTTAAATAGTGATTGACAGACAATTATAGGCTGATTTGCATTCAGTGTTACTGTCAAGCCTACTTCTTTTTTTTTTTTTTTTTTTTTTTTTTTTTTTTTTAAGGTTTATTTATTTATTATGTACACAGAAGAGGGCACCAGATCTCATTACAGATGGTTGTGAGCCACCATGTGGTTGCTGGGAATTGAACTCAGGACCTCTGGAAGAGCAGTCGGTGCTCTTAACCTCTGAGCCATCTCTCCAGCCCCCAAGCCTACTTCTTAAACAGAGAACACAGATGCATTTATAAGATTTAGTTGACTTCCCTGAGGGGCCCTCTACACTATTCTCAGCTTTTCATGAAAATGTGGCATTTTTTAAAATTTCTTTCTAGACTTTTTTATTTCATGTGCATGAGTGTTTTGCCTATATGTATGTCTGTACACCACATACATGCCTGGTGCCCAGGTCAGAAGAGGGTGCTGCATCCCCTGGAACAGATAGATGGTTGTAAGTGGTCATGTAGATACTGGGAACTGAACCCAGGTCCTCTGCAAGAGCAACAAGTGCTTTTAATGACTGAGCCATCTCTCCAGAGCATACGCTGCAGCTTTTAAGCTTCACAAGGCCTTCCAGAAGCAGAAAGGACTTCTGTTTCTTAGCATTGTTCTCCTAGCCATTGAAATCTGTAGAATCCCTATCTATACAGACTTTAAAAACAATGATGACTGGATTCTTTAAAGCTATATATATAAAGATGAAGTTCTTATTAACAATAGCAAAAGGCAGGCTGGGCGGTGGTGGGGCACGCCTTTAATCCCAGCACTTGGGAAGCAGAGCCAGGCGGATCCCTGTGAGTTCGAGGCCAGCCTGGTCTACAGATCGAGATCTAGGACAGGCACCAAAACTACTCAGAGAAACCCTGTCTCAGAGAAAGAAGAAAAAAAAAAAAAAAAAACAAACAATGGTTCCGAGCTCAAGAGAGGTACCAGACTATATTAACTGACTCCTCCAAAAATACCACCTTATCTAAAAACAGTGCCCTAGCTTACCAGCAAAAAGACAGACTAAGAAGTCATGTCTTTACACAGTTCAAAGACACAGACTTCTATTCTGCTGTAACCTTTGACACTATGGTTTTTCCTATTTTAGATACTTCGTGTAGCTGGTGGTGGTGATAGTGTAGGCCTTTAATCCCAACATTTGAGAAGCAGAGACAGGCGAATCTTTGAGTTCGAGGCCAGCCTGGTCTACAGACTGAGTTCCAGGACAGCCAGGGCTATGCAGAGAAACCTTGTCTTGAAAACAAAATCAAACAAACAAAAAACCTCGTGTAACAATTTGCTTGATGGCCATCCACTAGCTTCACTTTGAAGAGAATACTAACACTTTGTCTGCATGAATAGAAACTGTGAAAAATGTCTCAACACAATTCGGGCTAAGGACAGTAGTTCCACAAGATGAATTTCTTCTAAGTACTCCATTTCTAGACTACAAGTAAGAACACTGCTAGAGGCCAAAGCAGGTACTTGGCTCCTGGCCACAGAACTACCTATAGATTTCAAAGAAAACAAGAGGAAGAGTTAAAACTGACAGGTCTAAGACAAGAATATGCCTCCATCCACACAACAAAAATAAACTTAAAACTCTGTATTTGCTGAGTTTCCACACTGGTAGAGGTGCTAAGTGCTGAAAGATCTCGGTCTACGTCCACTCCCTTTCCTAAGCTCCCCACTCGCTCTGCTGCATTTTAAAGGCAAAGTGTCGACTACATGCTTCAATCTCGAGGGGCTGGAGAATACAGCGTATTCTTAAAATGAAAAGTTTGTAAGGATTTCAAAATCTAGATGCCAAAATACATTAAGGGAGGGGTAGTAAACAAATCTGCAATAAATCAATTGACCATACTTATATTTTTCTAAAGCAGTGGTTCTTAACCTTCCTAATGCTGCAATCCTTTAATACAGTTCATGTTATGGTGACCCCTGAACCATAAAATTATTTCATTGCCCCCCCCCTCCCCGAAAAAAAGCTTAGCATCGATGGCATGCACCTTTAATCTCAGAACTCAGGGAGCAGCGGCAGGTTCCAGGCCAGCCTGGTCTACAGAGTGAGTTCCAGGATAGCTAGGGCTACACAAAGAAATCCTGTCTCAAAAAACCAAAAAAAAAAAAAAAAAAAAATTATTTTATTGCTACTGTAATTTTGGTACTATTAGATATTGTAATGTAAATATCTGACATGCAGGATAGCTGATATGCAACTCCCAAAGAGATCAGGACCCACAGTTCGAGAACTGCTGTTCTATAGCAACCACTATATGTTTGTTTGTTTGTTTTGGTTTGTTTGTTTGGTTTGTTTGTTTGTTTTCGAGACAGGGTTTCTCTGTGAAGTTTTGGTGCCTGTCCTGGAACTCGCTCTGTAGACCAGGCTGGTCTCGAACTCACAGGGATCTGCCTGCCTCTGCCTCCCAAGTGCTGGGATTAAAGTGCTAGGATACCACCTAGCCAGAATAAGGTATCTTAAGTTGAGAAACTAGTTAAAAACTAAGAACAAAAAGTTTCTCTCTCCCTGGTACACAGCACAAACTGTTCACTTACATATATAATGTCCTTTAAATCCAAGGCAGTAAGCCAGGCTTGGTAGCATATCAGCACTTGGGAGTTCAAGGCCAGTCTTGTCTACTTAGCAAGTTCCAAGCCAGTCAAACTACAGTAGTGAAACCCTATCCATAAAAAAAAAAAAAAAAAAAAAAAAAAAAAAAAAAAAAAAAAAAAAAAAAAAAATCCAAAGTATTACATGGGATAAACAAAACAATAACTTGAATTTACACACCATATAGGACCAGAAATGATGATAGTCATAGCACCAGTAAATAACACTGAACTTAAGACTATCATTTCTGTTTCACAGAACTATCAGACATTTACTACTCCGTTTTTTAGAAAATAAAAGGGGCTGGGGATGTAGCTCAGTCATTCTGCACTTGTCTAGCATGTGTGAACCCAAAGGGCTCATACATACCAGCACCACAAAACAAAAAAGCTAAATAAAAAAATAGTAATAGCAGAAGTGATTTGCTTGCTGTAAACGATTATTCAATGGAAATGGACTTCACAAAAAGTCCCACAAACTGTAGGTGTGTGAACTTTATCTACTCAATTGCTTAAACTCAGTGCAGAATAAGTAACGGACATCAAAACAGATAAAATCCAGACCTTCCAATTAAAGTTACACAAGGAAATTTGAAGATGCAAACTATAATTACTCCTGGAGAAGACACTGATCAAGGATAGCCACAAATAACATTTGGCTGTAGACACGCTCCACTATGTGTGAATAAGTTGGAGCCACTAATAAGGATGGTACAACTTTGCTAACTCTAGCCCTGCCTGTCCCCAATTGGCTGACTGATCTCCTTGGAAAGTAGCTTCGGCCTTACCCTGGAGTTCGCTGCAATGAAAAGGGAAAACAGGACGGGTTTTTAAGTTCAGTCTCACCTTGCACATCTCAACAGCACTGTAGTTCATTAGTGATCAATTACTTCATCCAATTCCTGGGGAAAACAGAAAAGCAGAATATCTATACAATACCAGTTGGAGCCATTATCAGTAGCAAATATTTATTGCCCTGAAGTAAAAGAACATGGAGACTTCAAGTGGAAAAAGTTACAAAAACGGTACAGTATACGCTTTGGGGTGAAAAAAATCTGTCTTTTACCTAAAACTGAAAATATTTTCTTTCAGTAACAGATTACAAAATGTTCTTAAATCTTAAACATAATAAAGTCATCTTTTCAGCACTGATTAGTCTTGCTTTCGAAAATAAAAAGGGGAGGAAACGTCAAGGAGGGGGAAAAAGCCATTCATATGCGTGAAGAGAGGGCAAAATGAAGCGCAAACTAGGCCAGATAAGGTCTCCCGTCCCTCCCCCCCCCCCCCCCCCCCCCCCCCCCGCTCCGGGAATCCACTATCTCTGGAGCTACACTTTTGATTATATTAATGGCTTGCCTGAAAAGTGTAAGTTTGCAAGGGAGAAAGAATGCCAGTTTCGGAGCTCAACAAAAAACTTACAAGGTTCCCAACCCAAAAAGGAATCCGAAGACTCTGGCTTCCAGCCCTGTCTGAAAGGACCCTCAGCAAAGGCCAGGGGGGCAGGAGACTCAAACCCGTTTGGGGAAGAGAAATCAAAGTTCCTAGCTAAGACTGTGTGTCCCAGCCCTTGGAAGAAGGGAGAGAGAGAGAGAGAGAGATCTTTGGAGGCGGCTTTCTCCAGGAAGAGATAAGTCGTTTTGTTTTTGTAGATGTGCTCACGGGCCACGCACGTCCCAGGAGGGGGGCGGGGAGAGGGGGACCACAGTAAATCCTGGGCTCTGGGGCGCCCCCCTAACCCACTTTTCGTGCTGTCCCCTTCCCCGGGGTCGCCGCCCCACCCCAGGTGGAAGTCCTGACCCGGAGGGCAGCACTGCGCGCGGCGTGGGAGGCCGCCCGCTCCCCACCCTAAGCGGCGGCGACCCCGGGGCGCTGGGCGTGCGGGGACTCCGGGGCGGCCCGTGCCCGAGCACCCTCGCGCGGGCTCCCCGGTCGCCCCGAACCTCGGGCGTGTGCACGGACCCCCGGGCCACCGCCTGGGCGGCTGGCGCCTCAGCCCCCCCAGCGGAAGGGAAAGGAGATTGAGGAGGGGAAGAAGCAGTAAACAGCTCCAGCGTCCGGGCCTCGCCTCGGAGAGAGCCCCGCTCCCCAGGCCCTGCCGCCGGCCGTCGGGACCCCCCCGCTGTCCCCGGGGCCGCGCTGTCCCGGACCCGGAGCACCCGAGGGGAGTCCAGGCCTCTCCCCGGATGGCTCTGGAAGCTCCTGAAGCGACCCGGGCAGCGGAGAACGGGGAAGTCAGGACTTACCTGTCATTACTTTCTACGCCATCTTGGATCCACTTGTCAACGTCCCCACAAAGCATTATGGGTAAGAAAGAGCCTTTAAAGTGACTCCCCCCCTCGGCCCCCGACTCCCGCCTCCTGCCGCCGGCGCCGCCCCCTCCGGCCGCACCTCCCTCCGGAAAGTTGGCCCCAGAGGCCCGCCCGGCCCCCTTCAGCGCCTGAGGGACTTCGCGGGGAACATCCTCCCCCCCCCCGGATTTCCAACTGTGCCTTTGGGGTGCTCTCTTTTCTGCCGGCCCGGGTCTCCCCTATCCCCTACGCGAACTGCTCTCTGCCCCGCCGCGATCCTGCCCTGGCATGCAGACACCCCACTTCTGCATACACTCTACGCGGGGTGTCCTGGGCGCGGGCGGCCTTGCGAGCCGCTGGCGGATGCTTGGATGCTTGCAGGGATGCAAGGACGCCAGCATGAGCACGCCTGAGAGCGGTCCCCCAGCTCCGGGTCCTTGCTAACGCTCGCGCTTCCCGCCACGCGGCATCCGCCACGCACGTCGCACCCGCGCGCGGGGGACAGTGCCTGTATCCTGGGAAGACAGTCTGGGTCCCCCGGATTCCAGGAACTCTGTGAACGCCGAGTCAACCCGCCAGCGAAGCGCCAATTGGGGTTTGAGAAGGTTAAGCTAAACGCAACTTTACCCCCAGTTCACTCAGCTTTGCGCAGTCTCCTCCTCGAACCGGGTAATGTGATCCACGACCCTCTAGGTCGGAGGACCCCTCCCCTAGGAATGTGGCTTTCGGCTCGGTAGGATCCACTGGTTTAGAGTCCAAACTGCGGACTGTGACTTCCCCCGGCAGGTAACTCGGGAGAGCCAGGCTGCAGACTCCGGGTGGGGCGTGGATGCGCGCCTGGGCCGGGAAGAGGGCCCCCGGGAAGGTGGGGGGCAGTGCCTACCGCGTTCCAACTGTCCTGTTCCCACAGGGCGGCGACCCCAGGCGGCGGGACAAGGTAGAAGGCGGGCGCCACGCTGGCTCGGGGCAGAGAGAGGAGGGGGATGTCCAGAGTGGCTCGGAGGCGACTAGGGCGCAGGAAGTAGGAGGCGACCGTGCGCCGGCTACAGACCTCAGCGAGCATCCCGCGGGCATCTGCTCTCTCGCTGCAAGACAAGCCGCGGGCTCTCTCCGCCCCTCCGGTTTGCTTCGGGCGTGCGACACCTAGCCCAGGTGACCAACCCCGTTGCTCCCTGAATTACCAGCTCCTCGCAGCCCTTGTCCTGCCAGAAATGGAGGTCTGTTGATTAACTCCCCACCCCCACCCTGTATGTTCTCTTTCCAAAGCCCCCAGTGTCAGCATTGCTGAGTTCGGGGACCTCCGGTTGCTTGCCTACCCCGAACCGAACAAGATTTGGTATCCAAAAAAAAAATCCTCCAAGACTTTCCGGGTAGATCCTGTGTTTAGCTTTCGCGAGGTTTTAATCCCCAGCGGCGGTGGGGGGTTGGGGGGGGGAGGTGTTATTCCCCAACACACCAAACAAAATGCTACTAAATGGCTCTGAAAATTCGAAGAAATCTTGAGCACAGGCATTGGCACGTACACACCCTCTTTTCGGTACAAGGGGAGGGTCTTGGGTCTGCCTTTTTCAGGCACCTCCGGATCCCACCAGGTGTCTCTCTGGAGCTACCTGGGTGGTTGATGACAACCTCTGCCCCTAGGGAGCCAAAAGCTCCACCAGTCTATTGTACCAGCCTGAAGAAAAGGGTGAGGTGTGGACTCATTAAGGGATTGGCCCCGGGGTCACTCTTGAGGGAGGGAGCAGGTGAGTCATTCCCAGCGGACTAGGAAGAGGCGGTCAGGGGAGGAACCTCCCCTGAGTCACCGCTTTTCAGAGCTTCTGCCAGTCTCCAATATTGGGAACTGGAGCCTAGAGCTCTGGACACCTCTAGAGTGGTCAAAAGTGTCCCCCACCGGCCCCTTTGCTCTCCCTGCAAATGAAAGCTCCCAAGTCCTGTTTCCAGGGTACCCCAGTTGCTCCTCCTCCAGTTCCTGCATTTCTTAAGCCACTAGGATGCACTAATGTAATGATTGGCAACTTGAAGTGGGCGATCTGAGCTTCCTTGTAAGTAAGTAATCAACCGAAGAGCAAGAGCTGTGCCTGCCAAACTGCCTCTTTGGTCGGTAGTCTTTCTTCGCTTTAGAAAAGCTTTGGCCCAAAGATAGACTCCATTTATGTCAGTGCCTCCAGTGTGTGTTCCAGCAGGTTCTTGTCCCAGATGCCACCTGTTACCTGGACTAAGAGAACCTCCTAACTCTCCCTGCTCCCGGACTGCCCCTTAAATTCCGATGTCCATCTGACCAACTCAGTGACATTTGTGAAATGCAAATCATGTGACTCCTTAAGCCTTCCACATCGTATTTGGGATGATCCTAAGTTCCCAGCCATGGACGATGAGCTCAATGAGATTGTCCAGTCTTCCCTTCCTCCATGATGAGGCCAGAGTGACCTCCTTCTTCCCTACATCACCCCAAGCTTTCTTCCCCTGAGAAAACTATTTCCCTCCACCTGTCAGTCATCATCTTTTCATCATTCAGGTCTCGGTTCCTGTCACTCCTCCATGCTGTGGGATGTCTTTCTGTATGCTGTGAATATGTGTGGCTCCCATTGGATAATAAATAACGCTGTTTTGGCCTATGGCAAGGAAGCTTACAGCCAGGCAGGAAGTCCAAGCAGAGAGACAGAGAAGGGCAGAGTGGGGGAGATGTGAACCTGCAGCCCAAGAAGCAACAAGATATCAGCAGACCTGTAAAGCCACTGCCACGTGGCAACATGTAGATTAATAGAAATGGGTTGAGTTAAGTTATAAAAGCTAGCCGGGCGGTGGTGGCGCACGCCTTTAATCCCAGCACTTGGGAGGCAGAGGCAGGCGGATCTCTGTGAGTTCGAGGCCAGCCTGGTCTACAAAGTGAGTTCCAGGAAAGGCGCAAAGCTACACAGAGGAACCCTGTCTTGAAAAAACAAAAAAAAGTTATAAAAGCTAGCTAGCAGCAGCTTGAGCCATAGGTCATACAGTTTGTAATTAATATAAGCCTCGTGAGTAATTATTTTATAAGCAGCTGTGGGACCACAGGAGGGAGAGATTCGTCTTGACCTCGGGGCAAGGCAGTACCCGAGAAATTTCCGTCTACACCTCCAAGAGGACCTTTGTGATCCCCTTAAATGAAACAGGTCACTCAATTCCACTACTGTCATTAGAAATTGTCTTATCAATTTGTTTTATTATCATCTGACCCACTCACGTCTGTTTTCTATTGTCTTCAGAGTGGGGGCATGAACATAGATACTTAGCAAATATTTGTGGAATTAATGACAAACTGTTATCAGCACAAGGTGGTAAGGAGACGGAGTGCTGATGTCTGAAGTGGACTGACCTACTGATCACATTCCGCTAGGGACCCAATGGGAGCCATGTTGTGGGGCTCAGCTGCTGTTAACCCGGTTCTATTCTGTTTCTGAGCTGCCTGACAAGAGCACCACCGATTCCGCCCTCACATCCCTCTTCTCCATCTTCTCTCTCCTCCGTCACCCATGGCCACACCTACTTAGTGTGAAGAATGTCAAGTCTCAGTCTTTAGGCCTCTCTTCTTCAGTTGCACTATCTAGTCGTAAATCTCTCCAGGATTTAAATCTTTCCACCAAAAAGGGATTGCTGAATCTTCCAGATTGCTCTCACACTTTCCCCTGAGTGTGAGATTCTATCCAACAGCTTCTTGGTATTTCTCATAGATGCTTCAGACGCATTGTTCTTAGAACCCTATGTCTTCCTTTTCTTCCTCCTCTATTCCCCTTCTTCGTCCTCTGAGATAGGTCTCTTTTAGCACAGGCAGGCCAGAAACTTGCCATCTAGCCAACAGTGACCTTGACTCCTGGTCGTCCTGCCTCTGCCTCCCAAGTGGCGAGATTACAAGTATATGCTACCAGGCTCACCAGCCTGCAGGTCAGTTCAGTTATTTGACTGATTGGTGTATATGGTAAGTATGTGTGCATGGGCACATCTGTACATTCACATGGTAAGGCCAAAGGGAATATCAGATATCGTCCTTTCTTGTGGACCCCAGAGCTCTCTGTTTCCGGTAGACCAGCTAGACAGGAAGCCTTCAGAACCTGCATGTCTCTGCTCTCCAGTGCCAGGGTTACAGGCCCACACCCTGTTCCCACTATGGAAGTCAGGCTAGCCTGGAACTCTCGGTCTTCCTGCATCACCCATCTCAGCCCACGACCTGTACCATCTGAGAAGCTACATGGCTCACACCTTTGTTTCCAGTGCTTTGGATTGTCCAATCACTTCTGAATGTGTCACTTCCGTGTTCCTGTGACAAGTGTGGCCAGTTGCCGCTGTCTCTCCATCGTATTTAAAATTGCAGTATTCCTACACATAAGCCATAATTCTGTCCCTGCTTTTTTTTTTTTAACAAGGCATTTTCACCTAACATAATGTGTATTTGTTTACACCTGCAGAGGAAGAGAACCTCATTATAGCCCTAAAGTTGTTTCTAGAAAAATTCTGCAAATAGGGACTGAGAAGATGGCTCAGCAGTTAAAGCAAGCATGAAGGATAGGGTCCCAGAAACTCCGATAATGTCCAGTGGGCATAGTGGACTACCTGTAATTCTGTCCTCAGAAGGTAGAAACAGGATGGATATGAAAAAATAATGGGGGCTGGAGAGATGGCTCAGTGATTATGAGCACTGACTGCTCTTCAGAGGACCGGGGTTCAATTCCCAGCACCCACATGGCAGCACACAACTGTCTGTAACTATTTCAGGGACCTGACACCTTCACACAATGCACATGAAATAAATTAAAAAAAAAAAAAAAAAGGAAAGAAAGAAAAAGAAAAAATAATGGTCTAGTGGCAAAGGCAGTTGAATTTCTGAGTTCAAGGCCAGCCTGGTCTACATTAGTGAGTTCCAGGACAGCCAGGGCTATGTAGAGAGACCTTATCTTTAAAAAAAGAAAAAGGAAAGGAAAGAAAGAGAAAGAAAGCAGGCACAGTAGAAATAAAGAAGAATACAACTGGCTGGGGTGTGTGGCTCAGTTGTAACATGCTTTCCAAGGATGCAGAGTTCCATCACCAATACCAAGTAGGCGTAGTGGTGTTCACCTGTGATCCCAGCACCTTGAAATGAAGGCAGGAGAATTAGGAGTTCAAGGCCAGCCTGGGCTACATGAGACTTAAAAAAAGAAAAAAGAAAGAAAAAAAGAAAATGGCCCCAGGGGTGGGGGTGGGGGGGATGGCTGGACACATGGTTCTATGGTCAAGAGCACTGACTGCTCTTCCAAGACCCAGGTTCAATTCCAAGCACTCACATGGCAGCTCACAACTGTAAGTCCAGTTCCAGAGGATCTGACACACCCATGGCAAAACACCAATGCACATAAAATAAAAATAAATGATTTCTTAAAAAGCCAAACCATGCCGAGCGGTGGTGGCGCACGCCTTTAATCCCAGCGCTCGGGAGGCAGAGGCAGCTGGGTCTCTGTGAGTTCGAGGCCAGCCTGGGCTACCAAGTGAGTTCCAGGAAAGGCGCAAAGCTACACAGAGAAACCCTGTCTCAAAAAACAAAACAAAAAAAACCAATAATGATGACAATATAGTCAATTAACCAGGAGGTATAAGAATTCTAAGTTTTTGTGTACTTCTATGGATAGACTCAAAGCAAAGCAACAGAAAGAAGGTGGAATTGCAAGAAGATACAGGAAAATCTGCAGTTAGAGTAGACATCTCTATCTCTAACTGTTAGGACAAAATGAGCAAGTGTGGACATATGGATAAGCACACTTTAACCAACTGGACATACACAGGACAGGGCCCCCCAGATGCAGCTCACACATTCTCAGTTGCCCAAGGAATGTTTTTAATGCTAGAGGTAGAACAAGTCCCAGCAAATTTCAAATGATTCAAATCAAATAGAGTAAATTTTCAGAAAATGATGCAACTCAGCCAGAAAATAAGAGTTTTAAAAAGGTAAACAGAAAAAACTCTGTGTCTTAGTTTGCTTTCTAGTGCTGTGATAAAACACTATGACTAAAAGCAGCTTGGGGAAGAAGGGGTTTATTTAGCTGACGAATATCCTGAGTCAGTTCATTGAGAGAAGCCACAGCAGGAACTCAAGTAGGGGAGAAATTGAAGCAGAGGCCATGGAGGAATGCTGTTGGTGTAATGGCTTGATCTTCATGGCTTGCTCAGTCTGCTTGCTTTTGTTTTTTTCTTTTTTTAAGATATATTTGTTTATTATGTATACAGAAGAAGGCACCAGATCTCATTACAAATGGTTGTGAGCCACCATGTGGTTGCTGGGAATTGAACTCAGGACCTCTGGAAGAGCAGTCGGTGCTCTTAGCCTCTGAGCCATCTCTCCAGCCCTCAGCCTGCTTTCTTA